ACTGCACCACCACGTCCTCCCTCCTACATTAATAGAAAAGACATAAAAGTGTTATTACACTAGTACATTAGAACAGGGCGCAGTTGTCCCTCTGCCTATTACAATTCATTCGGAACGAGTCCCACTAACATGTGAAATGGCGAGCTCTGTATTACGTGGTAGATAATGTTTCTGTCTGCTCAGACTGGCTTATATCACAGTGGGTTGCTCTAATTCTCCCAATGACCCTGTGAGATAAGCTAGGCCCAGACGGTGCCTTGGATCACAGCCGGTCAGTGACCTCAAGCAATTTTCAGAATGGAAATTTGGTTATGCAACATATTTCTCTGGCCCTGGTCTAGAATTATAGGAGATCCGTGTGGCAGATTGGTAAGATCTATCTGACTGCAACGGCTTTCTTTCAGATTTCTTTCAGATTCAAGGTAAAAGGCGCCAGTTCTTGCAGCAGCCAACACAGGAAGCCCAACTAAGGAGTAATGAGTGAAACAACTCTTGTGAGTGGGAAAGTTAAATTAGGCTGGTATAATGCCTCCACCCCACTCCCATTTGTTTCAGGAAGGGGCTTTTAATCAATAGTAAAACAGAAAATCTGTAGCATGGAAAGAGAGGTGACTGAAGATGCAAGTGAAGCACAGAGCTATTGTTGACAGAGGCCATGCAGCAAAGAAGAAGAGGAAGAAGAAGAGCTGGTGGTCTGTGCCAATAAGAGAGTTCATGAGAAGAATTACAGGCCAAGAGACTGTAATTCCCTTCTATTGCAAATCTGTGTACTGCAGAGCGGAAAGAATTGTATTTAAGCTGCTTCTAGGACAGGCTAAGTTACATGCCATAAGTAATAACACAAGGAAATAATTGGGCATTTCTGAAGAATGCCCAACTAGCAGTGTTCTCTCTCTCTCCTTTTCCTCCATCTCCATTTCCTTTACAGTAATTAGATCCATCCCTTTGCTACTCTTAAGGAACTAACTTTGATATTTTGGCTCCTACAGGTTATTATCGCCAATATCGACAAGAGCCTGTATCATTTGGACGCATTGGATATATGACACCCTATTACTATGTGGGCTGGTATGAGTGTGGTGTACCAATTCCAGGGAAGTGGTAGCTGTGCTGTGGTCTTCTGCAGATCTCAGCCACAACTTTTAAATAACTGCCTTTGAAGGACTTGGAGCAGCTGGTTTCGGGAATGAAAGAAAACAAAAATCCCCCAAAGGAAGAAACAAGAGAAGCTCACTGGAACTCAGTGCTTTTGTTATCCTAAGTCTATGGTGCTGCTTGGTTATTCTGCTTCAGGACATATACAGGATAAATTTTGGGTTGTCCTGCCTTCTTCTCCTTGGTTTTAATAGGCCTGGAAATGTAACGGAAATGAGCACTTATCTATGCTCGGTGAAGCCTAATATATTTGATTAACCACACAGAAAAATGGAATTGTGATATATCTTGCAAGAAAACGACTTAAGCATGCTATGCTTGCATTATGGAATGTTAACCAGTTTCCACTGCTATTAATAGAGTTCTTTGTTGTTATCCATTGGCGGTTGTGAGCTTCAGAATGTTGCCTCACAGCCGCACTATGTTACAAAACACCCATGAAAACCAAATGGAAGTGTTGCTCAAAGGTTCTTCCGGGGGTTTGCACGTTGCTGAACAAAATACCAGGTCACTATGTCAGTTCAGCTGGCACAAACAATGAACAACCAGTACTGTATGGTTGCAGAAATACGTTTTAAAACTGAGATTTTTTAAAAAAGAATTTAGATAAATATGTTTATGGGTTGATGTTTATGTAAAAGGTGCTATTCATAACAAGTCTTCTAAAATAATTATTCTGTGAAAAAATACTATGCACAATACATTAATCGTATAATGACCCAGGCTTTTCTTCTTGTGGGTAGTGTTGAACTCTAATGAAATAGAAAATAAAGTAGAAAAACAAATAGAAAAAATAGAAAACTTCAGCATCACGCTCTCAGCATGGCATGTTTCAACAACAGTGAATTATTTGGTCCATATCCTAATGTGGCTGAGATGCCAACATTGGTACAAATCTAACCAGGTGTGCCTTAAAGGTATGTCAGATGCTCTTTAGACCTTTACGGTCTAAATCACAAACTTATTTAAATGGAATAGAAAGAGACTTTTATCTCAGTGAAACCAAAGATTGCTTAAGCTGCCATATTATGTACGTTTGCACAAAAGAAGACTACACAAAATCATAATGTCAGAAGGGTTGAAGAGTTAATCCTACCTCTCTCTCCCCTTGCCCACGGGCTCCAGTTCTACCCTCCCTTCTATGGTGTTTATTTTTAAAGTACATATTAAATGCAATATAACATTTAATATCACAACTGGTACACCCTACCCCCAGGCTACACATTTGCTTAAATTTGAAAATTTAGATAGATTAGATTAGATTAGAAAATTTAGATAAATTATCCCTTTAGTTGTTGAAACCCCTTTTGTCTTTTTCAGACACATATTTATTTAGGCTAAAAATCAAACTGTGAGGATTAATTCCATGAACCTGGTGGATTTGAGGCTTATTTTTCAGGGGGAACAGTACCAACTTACTTTTGAAGAGATTAAAGTTTCAAAATCAGTTCACAATATTGCTTGCAGGTCAGATGCTTCAAAAGAAAAAAAATATGAGAGAGATCCAAACATAGCTTGAGTCACTTAAATATCTCAGATTTCTTTCAGAAGTAAAGCCCCTCACCCAACTATTTAGCATATAGGCATATCCAGGACTTATTTTCACATTTTAGTTTATGTTGTTAATATCCTAATTCCATTAATATGGCAATGCATTATTTGTTCTTTAAGTAGAGGTATTTTGCAGTTGTCCAATACACATGTGAAACCAAGCTGCCTATGTCACATCCTTCCTGCATGACCAAAATGTTAAAAATAATGGGGTAGCCTCTGCTCAGATGAACCCTATTAACAAACAGAATTCTCAGGTGTGCTTAAAAAGGAGAGGATTCTGTTACAGCTGGATAGATACTAAATTGGTATTTAAATGTTGATTTCTCTTTCCAACTTATTCTGTAGCTTTTATTTGAGTAGACTGATAATGGCTCGCTTATTTAGAGAGAGACCTTCCAACCTAGCTGGATGACACTGTCTTCCTTCCCTGCAACAACCCTTCCTCTCCATTTAACGTGGGAACTCTAGATAGAAAGTATAATTTTCTTACATTGCACACTATCCCCGCTGGTCACTTACAGTCATTCAACATCATGCCAAAATTACAGTCGTGAGGACAGACTTTACATCTCTGTAGCATTAGTTGGGTAACACTCTATGAAGTTACAAGTAATCAGTAGGAAATGGTTAAAGTGGGCACACCTTTCTGTACTAAATAATATGTTCTGATACCACTTTATTGAGTAGTGTCTCTCCATTAAAAGCCAAAATTGTTGGTAAATAACAAGGCAACTGAAAAACAACGTGAAGAGCACTGATTCTTGATTTTAAGCCAAACTTCTTCCAAAATAAAGAATAAAGAATTGGGAGCAACCACAGAGTTGGGTGCAAGTAGCCAATCTGCAAAGTGTGGTCAAACTGGAGTTCTCCAGGTTACCACTTCTATGAGCCCCATTTGGTATTGCCAATGGACGAATATGGCTAATGTATGAAAGCACTGGAAGGCACCATTGTTTATCATTATTTTTGGTTTATGCCCATACTTTATGTATTGGATTATATTCTTCACTTATCTCCATTAAAACCAGCATTGCATATCCCAGATGGTGTTTCCTGTACCAATGCAGTATGTTTCTAGAAAAAGATAGTTGAGAACTTGTAAATGTAAACATTAGGCCTGGCACCAACATGCAACACTCTGATACAGCAGCTCAAGCCTTACAGAGCCTTGGCATCACTGATATGCCTTATTACTGACCCATAGGATTAACCCTAACCTTAGCGCTCTGGGACATTGTGCAAAATGTAATGGCAGACAAATCCCTAACATAGGGCACTGATAAGTGTTTGCTGTACTTGATGTGGTTGCCAGGTATGTTTTCATAGGCAGTCCTGTGGAAAGCAGGGCAAAGTGCATAATGATGTCTTGGATGACGTCATGGTGACTTGTAGCAGGAGCCTCTCTAGGAGATTTGCTAATGTAGGAACCCTTCTCCTCCAAAGCAGACTTTACTGACAGCTTGTCTAAGCCTGGAATTCTCTTTTTAGAACATAAATGTCGCATAACAACATTAACACTAATCCAACCATTCAACCATCCAACCAACAACAACCATTCGTGAGCTATCCCAAATAGGAACATCTGAGCTGTCTTCTTGAAAATCACTAGAAAGTTTAAGTCAGTGTTTTTTCAAACTTGACAACTTTTAAGATGTGTGGCTTGGGGAATTCTGGGAGTTGAAGTCCACACATCTTAAATTTGCCAAGTTAAATTTGAAAAACACTGGTTTAAGTGCTCCAACACATGAAACACTCATACGAAGTGCTTTCTGGCAGCCTCCACCAGAGAACTCTAATTGTAAAGCATTCTACAATTTCTAAGGCCCTACAGTCTTCACAGATAATCAACCAAGCTCGTTATTCTTCCAAGACAGACTGACTCAGGGGAGCCATCCTATTTAAGAACCTACACAAACACTTTCCATTGAGTAATATTTTCCCAACATACGCGGACTGTGACCACTGCATCTGCTACTTTTGAAGTGTGGTATGAAACAAAAGGGTGGGAGCCCTGGGTGAAAGTACAGTAACAGTGGCCACAATGTAAGTTGTGGACTTAATAAGCAGCAATAAGGAAGAAGATCCTTCTCTATCACAACTGGTTTTTATTTCTTCCACCTTTTCTAGCAGCATCCTGGAATAACTTCACCATTTTTCTAGCCAAGAATTTTCCTGCTAATGTCCTGTATTTCATAGTGTAGATTTCAACTCACTAAATATATGCAGGCAGGAGGCTATTTATCTCAACTATCCCAACTTCCCAGTGTACTCTATAATAAAACAACTACTATAAAAAGTCCATTTTCAACTTCTGCTTTGACAGCAGCCTTTCTGGAAGATGTTGCCACAATTTATATATTACTAATGGAAATGACAATTTCCTTTCAGTTCAACAGTCATTCTGACTGTCTTCAGGACTCTCTGCGACCACACTCAGCAATATTTATTGCTTTCCTTCTCATCACATCTTTCTAAAGAGACCTGTGTGAAATCTGCCATTTAAGCTGATCCCTCTATTTTCATCGATAAGGATCGTTTGGTGACAGACTCAGCACTACAAGTTATCATTTTCCTTAGCTTGTTTGAAGTGCCAGTATTGCTTCTGACTGGGCTCTAAAATAAAACAACTTGCAAATATTTAGTCCTACAGTAATATTTTGTTGTTGTTGTTTAGTCGTTAAGTCGTGTCCGACTCTTCGTGACCCCATGAACCATATTGCGCCA